CTCAACGAAGTCGCACGTACCAGTACGAAGAAAAGATAACGCGGCAAGGAAGACTTGATAGTTAAGAAAGATGCACAGTACTTAAAGAAGTACTTTGCTGTACGGTACATTGCACCTGTTCGAATACTCGTAATCAAGCTAACAACGTGCGTCAGCACAGTACCTGTTATACGAACAATGGACTTGATATGCATCATAATCAACATCTTCAAACTTACACTGGGTGGAACATGTACTATAATACGCAATAAGACGTGTTCTATTGTCATAGAAAAGTGACTGGTATTTTAGTTTTCACTAGCTGAATGTTCGTTATTTATAATTCACGTTGTCATTGACCATTTTTGGCAAGGTTTGGAAATTGTGGAATGGATTGTAACTAAATCACTGACTTGTGGACTTATTTTATATATTGAAAAATTGACTGTAACCCATACTCTAATTTTAATTTTGTATACATACAGTAGCCATCGTCCAAAATAAATCTTATTTAGTATTGTACTATATTTGTTGATTATCATTTAGATTAGTTATAAGCGCGCGCATCAAGATTTTATTGGCATGCAACATGTACGCACTGCGTACCTATTTTTATCAATTTTCATTGATGAAAAAGTCCTCTGTTAATATCCATCTGATCAAACAGGTAGTGCCGTAATTTGATTAGTATGTACTTGAATGTCGTAACAGACTCAAGTGTGAATGGAATTCAGCAACAATGGATTAAATTAAATGTAGGGTACAGTCCGTATGTAAACAAAGCCTTGGTTTACATTTCAGTATTCAAAATATTGAACTTTATTCGACTATTTATATTTATAACTATTTATATTTTCATGCTTTTACAGTATAATAAATAATCAAGATATAACAATCAGGCTTTGCAAGAACATAAAATGAAATAAAAACCTAATTAAAGTCTATCATGGGCAGCCCAAAAATGTGTGTTGAAATTTTTTACCTCGCGCATGGCGTTCGGGCATGCATCGAGTCTACTCAGTTTATTATTATGACTCAGTTTATTATTATGTCATAATAAACTGAGTAGACTCGATGCATGCGCGAGGTAAAAAATTTCAACATGCATTTTTGGTCTGCCTATGCTCCTATGTACGAAGACCAGACTGTACCCTATCTGTTTTTATCTAGCCATACTTTACAGATCAAATACATGTATACCTTCGAAAAAATGGGAACAGATTTACTATTTAGCACGAATACGCCGACATGCGGCGACTATTTAGAATATAAATCGAAAGCATTTTTTATACAAATCGATAAATATTGAAGAAAATCGATGAATGTTGATAATAAACGACAAAAATGCCTATAACTTCTTGTGACTATCGCGATAATGGTCATCAATTGACCAATGTCAATCGATATCAATTTCAAAAACTGGAAAATTCACAAACATTTGACAAACAAAAAATACCTTACTTATATAAAACAACATCTAAAGAGTTTTAATTTTTGCAACTGCCGTTGCTATGGCAACAATGACGTAGCCAAGCAAAAATTATGAATAATCACTTTACGTAAATATTTTAAAAATTTCTGCTCCACACAAGTTTTTTAAATTGTCAAAATAATTTATTATACTACGAGAAATATTTTTTTTAAAATAAAATTTGGAGGTCACCGAAGTTGTTTATAGCTGTGTTTACACTACAAGCCTGAGTCTGGCGTAGATCTGGACCACATGTTCTGATGGACCTAGAGTTCCTTGCCTAGGCCAGGCCGCAGTGCATTTACACTACAAAAATCTAGTCCAAATCTAGGTCAGGCTTTGGCTCGTAGTGTAAACACAGTTTATGAGTTAAATTACTTTCAATTGCTACCAAAATCTCCGCCATTTTGAAATGTCATTGTTGCCATACCAACAGCAGTTGCGTCACAGAAAAGAAAATGGACCAGAAGCCTCACAGTATATCTTTTCCTAACATTTTCGTGTCCGCGATTTTCGCCTTGCGGATCACGAATTTCGCACACTAGATGACGTGTGTGACACTTGCTGCGAACATCACGTCAGCGTTCGTCAGCAAAACGGTTAAAACAGCAATCTTTATTACCTAGTGATGGCGTTTGATGGCGTCGTGATTACACTTGCTGGCTCGCGCTTGCGCATAAAAAATCTCGGACACAATTTTGACTGAGTGAGGCTTCTGGTCTATTTTCTATTCTGTGGTTGCGTACTTTTGTCCAAAAAGTCAAACTCTTTACATGTTGTTTTATATAAGTCAGTACTTTTTATTTATCAACAAGTAATAATTGAGCCAAGTAATAATTGTCTAAGTAAGGCTAATGCCCATTTAATTTTCCGTCCATTTTCAGCCACTTTTTCGATTTTTGAAAAAGAGGTGAAAATCGGCAAAAAAGTAAGGCCTTTCTTTCTTTATCTGTTTCTCTGTCTGTTTTTTCTTTCTTTATCTGTTTGTCTGTCTGTTTTTTCTTTCTTTATCTGTTTGTCTGTCTGTTTTTCTTTCTTTATCTGTTTCTCTGTCTGTTTTTTCTTTCTTTATCTGTTTCTCTGTCTGTTTTTTCTTTCTTTATTTGTTTGTCTGTCTGTTTTTTCTTTCTTTATCTGTTTGTCTGTCTGTTTTTTCTTTCTTTATCTGTTTCTCTGTCTGTTTTTTCTTTCTTTATCTGTTTGTCTGTCTGTTTTTTCTTTCTTTATCTGTTTGTCTGTCTGTTTTTTCTTTCTTTATCTGTTTGTCTGTCTGTTTTTTCTTTCTTTATCTGTTTGTCTGTCTGTTTTTTCTTTCTTTATCTATTTGTCTCTCTGTTTTTTCCTTCTTTTATCTGTTTCTCTGTCTGTTTTTTCTTTCTTTATCTGTTTGTCTGTCTGTTTTTTCTTTCTTTATCTATTTGTCTCTCTGTTTTTTCTTTCTTTATCTGTTTGTCTCTCTGTTTTTTCTTTCTTTATCTGTTTCTCTGCCTGTCTGTTTTTTCTTTCTTTATCTGTTTGTCTGTCTGTTTTTTCTTTCTTTATCTGTTTGTCTCTCTGTTTTTTCTTCCTTTATCTGTTTCTCTGTCTGTTTTTTCTTTCTTTATCTGTTTGTCTGTCTGTTTTTTCTTTCTTTATCTGTTTGTTTGTCTGTCTGTTCTTTCTTTCTTTATCTGTTTGTCTGTCTGTTTTTTCTTTCTTTATCTATTTGTCTCTATGTTTTTTCTTTCTTTATCTGTTTCTCTGTCTGTTTTTTCTTTTTTTATCTGTTTCTCTGTGTGTTTTTTCTTTCTTTATCTGTTTGTCTGTCTGGCTTTTTTTTCTCTTTATCTGCTTGTCTGTCTGTTTTTTCTTTCTTTATCTGTTTGTCTGTCTGTTTTTTCTTTCTTTATCTGTTTGTCTGTCTGTTTTTTCTCTCTTTATCTGTTTGTCTGTCTGTTTTTTCTCTCTTTATTTGTTTGTCTGTCTGTATAGCCTTAACTTGTCTTTGTCTCTCCCTATAGCCTTTAGTTTTCGTCCATTTTTAGCCACTTATCTCATTTTTCATAAGTGGGCCAAAAACAGCAAAAAAGTAAGGCTATAGCCTTAACTTTTCGTCCATTTTAAGCCACTTATGTCATTTTTCATAAGTGGGCCAAATACAGCAAAAAAGTAAGGCTATAGCCTTAACTTTTCGTCCATTTTTAGCCACTTATGTCATTTTTCATAAGTGGGCCAATAACAGCAAAAACGTAAGGCTATTCCTCCATTTTTAGCCACTTATGTCATTTTTCATAAGTGGGCCAAAAACAGCAAAAAAGTAAGGCTATAGCCTTAACTTTTCGTCCATTTTTAGCCACTTATGTCATTTTTCGTAAGTGTGCCAAAAACAGCAAAAAAGTAAGGCTATAGCCTTAACTTTTCGTCTATTTTTAGCCACTTATGTCATTTTTCATAAGTGGGCCAAAAACAGCAAAAAAGTAAGGCTATTATAGCCTTTACTTTTCCTACATTTTTAGCCACTTATGTCATTTTTCATAAGTGGGTCAAAAACTAAGGCTATACCCTTTACTTTTCGTCCATTTTTAGCCACTTATGTCATTTTTCATAAGTGGGTCAAAAACAGCGAAAAAGTAAGGCTATAGCCTTAACTTTTCCTCCATTTTTAGCCACTTATGTCATTTTTCATCAGTGGGCCAAAAACAGCAAAAAAGTAAGGCTGTAGCCTTAACTTTTCGTCCATTTTTAGCCACTTATGTCATTTTTCATAAGTGGGCCAAAAACAGCAAAAAAGTAAGGCCTTAACTTTTCGTCCATTTTTAGCCACTTATGTCATTTTTCATAAGTGGGCCAAAAACAGCAAAAACGTAAGGCTATAGCCTTAACTTTTCGTCCATTTATAGCCACTTATGTCATTTTTCATAAGTGGGCCAATAACAGCAAAAACGTAAGGCTATTCCTCCATTTTTAGCCACTTATGTCATTTTTCATAAGTGGGCCAAAAACAGCAAAAAAGTAAGGCTATAGCCTTAA